GAAAGAGAAACAAGACTTTATTTGCTAGCATCCCAGGGAACTGGTCTGTTTTAATGTATCAATATTAAATTAAAGTTGTACATGAATTTTTTTATATAGAATTAGAAAAATTAGTAGACATCGGTGTTATCAGTAGTAAATAGATCAGCTACAGATTCTGAGGAGCATGACCCACTCTGCTCCCTTACCCTGCATTTTAGGAGACAGTCTGAACTGTGTGCCTGTCCCATAGATCAAGGTTAGTCTTGGCACTCCTGCAACAGCCCAATATCCTTCTCTTCCCTTCTCCCCTCTGTGTTCCCATGCCCACTTTTACAGAACTTCATTTTAACTTGTTTCTACGACTTCTTCAAGTGTTCCTTCCTTCGTTCAGCCTTTGACAAATACAGTGTTTCTGCTCTGTGCAAGGTAACTGGGTTGCTTCCGTGAGCAAAATTAGACCCGGCCTTGGCTCTTGTAGAGCTTCCCATTGAATAGGAGACACAGACATGATGCACAAATTCAGTGTGAGCTGAGCTCAGCTCAGTCAGCTGATATATGAAGTGTGAGCAGGATTGAAATAGCTGAAAGGATGCGGCAGGTGGAGAACATTCAGGAAGAGGAAGCAGCTTGTATAAGGGGGTTAAAGGGAATGTGGCCCACATCTCAAAGGCAACCACCAGCTGGAGGCACAGGGCATGTGGGAGGAGTAGTGTGTGATAGGGGGGAGAGAGAAGATGGAGCAGGGTGGCAGGTGTCAGACTCGTCAGGGCCATTATGAGACATGACAGGAACACTTTGGGGACTTTGGTAATTTGAGCTTGAGATACTGTTTTACAAATAAATCTACATTCCGTGACAGGTATAGCAAACATCTTAACTTTTAATATGTATTGGACAGATTTTATTCTTTTTTTTTTTTAAGATTTTATTTATTTATTTGTCAGAGCAAGCACAGGCAAACAGAGTGGCAGGCAGAGGCAGACGGAGAAGCAGGTTCCCTCTGAGCAATGAGCCTGATGTGGGACTCGATCCCAGGACGCTGGGATCATGACCTGAGCCGAAGGCAGCGGTTTAACCAACTGAGCCACCCAGGCGTCCCAGACAGATTTTATTCTTAAAGGAAAACTAGAGAGAAAAATTTTGCCTATTTCTTGAACCCCTTACAGTCTGAAACCATACCACCAAGAAAATAGTTAACTCATAACTATATTTTTTTACAGAGAGAGCCGGACAGCACAAGTTGTGGGGGGGGATAGCAGAGGGAGAGAGAGAAGCAGACCCCCCACTGAGCAGAGAGCCCAATGTGGGGCTCACTCCCAGGACCTTGAGGTCATGACCTGAGAAGAAAGCAACCTCTTAACCGACTGAACCACCCATGCTCCCCTCTTTCGTTCTCTTATACTATCTTCCTAATAACCAAGGAAATAACACTGAATAAACTCTTTACCAAACGAATTTTCTTTTCCCATGAACAGGGCTTCCAGTTTCCAAGCGTGATGTCATCCCTCAGTTGGAGTGTGGGGAGGAGCTAGAGAGAGAAGTATCAAAAGCATCAGGTGAGTGGTAACATAAAACTCAGATGGCCAGTGGGATCAAACGGGACAAAGCATCTTGGAAGTGCTTGTGGAGGAGCCTCTCCAGATTTCACTAGACCCGTGGAAACATCGCAGTGAAGTCCCTTTCTCCGGTGCTGCACTCCAGCTCTGTGGATGATCATCTTTTATAAATGTATACTTTTTACATTTTTTTTTTTAATTTTTAGAAAATAAATATTTTCCACCCTTTCAAACCAGTTCTTTTTCCCAAATAAGGTAAAATGAAGTCAACGTTTCAGTATTTGTTAATAGTATGCTTGGTTGGGACGCCTGGGTGGCTCAGTGGGTTGGGCCTCTGCCTTCAGCTCGGGTCACGGTCCCAGGGTCCTTGGATCGAACCCTGCGTCAGGCTCTCTGCTCAGTGGGGAGCCTGCTTCCTCCTCTCTCTCTCTGCCTGCTTCTCTGCCTACCTGTGATCTCTGTCTGTCAAACAAATAAAATCTTTAAAAATAATAATAATAATAGGGGCACCTGGGTGGCTCAGTGGGTTAAAGCCTCTGCCTTCAGCTCAGGTCATGATCCCAGGGTCCTGGGATCGAGCCCCACATCGGGCTCTCTGCTCAGCGGGGAGCCTGCTTCCTCCTCTCTCTCTCTCTGCCTTCCTCTCTGCCTACTTGCGATCTCTGTCTGTCAAATAAATAAAATATTTAAAAAAAAATAATATGCTTGGCTGTTAGGCTGTAAACCAGGCTTTTCATATATGTTATTTTATTTCAAGAGTGTGACTTTTTATCTCAGATCAATGACTAAAAATCGATCTCTTGACTTTCCCCTTGCCTTCCTCTTTACGTAAGTAGAGGAAGCATAGAATAGTGGTTGAGTGCAAACCTTGGAACCAGTCTAAATGTGTTCAAAGCCAATCTCAACTACTTACGAGCTCTGTGACCTTTAACAAGTGAATTATCCTCTCTGTGACTCAAAGTCCCCAATTATAAAATAGAGATAATGATAGCACTTAACTCATAGGATTGCTGTGAAGATCAAATGAAATATTCCAAGAGAAATGCTTAGAATAGTACCTGGCCAAATGCTAAGCAAGTAATAACTATTGATTAAGTCCTGGCAACTTATTTTGAAAGATATCATGAATTTGACTTGATCATTTCTATCAAAATGGATACTGTCATGGACTGCCTGCTAATTATACTTTCCCTAGTCTAATCCTTGTCTAACTGAAGCAGCATCCCACTGTTAGATTTCCCACTCTGCCAGTTTTGTATTCCTCTGCCTGCTTTCAAGGCTTTTGTTACTTACCTGCCTAACCTTTTCATCTTCTTCATCCTTCAACTTGAACCCTTAACACCAGACAGGCAGTCTCTTACTTCCCTCCACTTCCTGTGTGTTCTCCATGGACATTTGGGGATTTAATTCCTCCATTCCCCATAGCTGAAAGTCCTGAAAGTCCATTTGCCTTAAACCTGTTTCTACCCATTTGCCCTTTAAAATCCCAGGTACTTCCCTGATTATGGCATGTAGTTGAAAACATTGTATTGCATTGTTTTATTTATGGATATTAAGGAGCATTTAAGCCTGGAAATATTTAAACATTTTTAGCTTTTCTCCCAAAACTCTTACTAGGAAACCTAGGATTTGGGGCAGGTGCCCTGACAGATTGGGAACAAGTCTGAGCATATAGGGATTTGCCCTTCTCCCTACATGCCACTCTTTTTTTCTGAACTTCGTTCTGTTTAAGTCTTTGAAGTTTGTTAAGTGTGCGGCAGTCAGAGGTGATCAGTTGCTTCTTTTTTTTTTTAAGATTATGGGTGCCTGGGTGGCTCAGTCGTCAAGAGTCTGCCTTCGGCTCGGGGCATGATCCCAGGGTTCTGAGATCAAGGTCCACACTGGGTTCCCTGCTTTGCGGGAAGCCTGCTTCTCCCTCTCCCACTCCCCCTGCTTGTGCTCCCTCTGTGTGTGTGTGTGTGTGTGTGTGTGTGTGTGTGTCTGTCAAATAAATAAATCTTAAAAAAAAAGAAAAAGAAAAAGAATTTATTATTTTTTAAAGATTTATTTATTTATTTATTTGATAGAGAGCACTAGCGGAAGGGGCGGAAGGAGGAGAGAGAATCCCAAGCAGGCTCCATGCTGAGCGCAGAGCCTGACATGGAACTCAGTCTCATGACCCCGAGACTGTGACCTGAGCTGAAATCAAGAAGAGTTGGACACTTAACCAACTGAACCACCCAGACATTCCATTTGCTTCTTAATCACTAAGCTTTGTGATGATGTGAAGTTGCTGATCTGGACCACTTTGTTTCTTTGTTTTTTTTTTAAATTTTTTTTGAAGATTTTATTTATTTATTTTAGAGAGTGCACGCAGCTTGTGCGAGTACACACGAGCAGGGGGAGGAGCAGAGGGGAAAGGGGAAGCAGACTCCCCGCTGAGCAAGGAACCTGATGCGGGACTCAATCCCAGGACCCTGGGATCATGACCTGAGTCGAAGGCAGATGCTCAACCGACTGAGCCACCCAGGTGCCCTGATCTGGACCACTTTGAATGCTAGCTTAAAGAATCTGTGTCTCATCTTGAGACAATGGAACCAACAGAGATTTTTTTTTTAAGGTTTTGAAGGTTAGTCTATTAGCAGTGATTGGGAAATCCTGGGATGGGGAAAGACTGGTAGCAACGAGCTCAACTAACATTGATTATCTCAAGGCATGAGGTGCGGAGGCTCCAGTGAGGGGGTAAGAGTGGGCAATCCCTACAAGACTGTCTTTCCCTGTCTCCATTTCACCCGTTTTTAAATCTCATCTGCCATTTCCCCACATGACCTCTGCCTAGTCTTACTCTCTCTTATTCTTTCTCATCTCCTCCCCTCCTGGATAGAAGAGAATATATTGAGTGCCTGCTCACTCTTTCCCTTTTGGGCAGTTGCACCTCTTTGCCCACTCATCTTTCTTTTCTCAAGTTCTTTCAAAATAGTGAAGCGATTTTTGAGAGCTTTCAAGTTCCTCTGTTCCGTGTAAATGTTTTTCATTTGTTTGTTTTTCATTATTTTCCTACCACAGCAGTTATTTTTCTTTCCTGTGTAGGAAATGATCCATGTGTATTTTTGTTTTTGTTTTTTTTTTCAGACTGAGAGAAAAGACCAGAAGGCAAGGAGCTTACTCCAGAACAGATTATTTCTGAGGAAGAATCAGCCCCTGGTGTGTTACTAGAAAGATTTCCAAAGGAAAGTTCCAGTGAATGTGAGGATTCTTTAGAGAGTCATCAGGAAAACCATGAGAAACATTTGATACAGGAGGCTGTCACTCAGAAGAAATCTTCTGGGGAGAGACGTTAGCAGTGTGATGAATTTGGGAAAAGTTTTAGTCAGAGGTCATCTCTTACTCAACAGCAAGGAGGGAGACTACATAACTGTGATTCATTTAAAAAGAACTTAAAATTCAGATCTAATGAGGCACGAGAAGATTTGTGCCGAGAAGAAACCTTGGAAGTGTAATGAGTGTGAGAAAGCCTTTAGTTACTACTCAGCTTTTGTCTTGCATCAGAGAATTCACACAGGAGAAAAGCCCTACGAATGTAACGAATGTGGTAAAGCTTTTAGCCAGAGCATACACCTTACTCTACACCAGAGAATTCATACTGGAGAGAAACCCTACGAATGTCACGAATGTAGGAAAGCCTTCAGTCACCGCTCTGCTCTCATTCGCCACCATATCATCCATACTGGAGAGAAGCCCTATGAGTGCAGTGAATGTGGGAAGGCCTTTAATCAGAGCTCATACCTCACTCAACATCAGCGAATTCATACTGGAGAAAAACCTTACGAGTGTAATGAGTGTGGGAAGGCCTTTAGCCAGAGCACATTCCTTACCCAGCATCAGGTCATTCACACTGGAGAGAAACCCTATAAGTGTAATGAATGTGGGAAGGCCTTTAGTGATCGATCAGGCCTTATTCAGCACCAGAGAACTCATACTGGGGAGAGGCCTTATGAGTGTAATGAGTGTGGGAAAGCCTTTGGCTACTGTTCAGCCCTGACTCAACACCAGAGAACTCACACTGGGGAGAAACCCTATAAATGCAATGATTGTGCCAAAGCCTTCAGCGACCGCTCAGCCCTTATTCGTCATCAGAGAACACACACTGGAGAGAAACCTTACAAGTGTAAGGACTGTGGGAAAGCTTTCAGCCAGAGCTCATCTCTTACAAAGCATCAGAAAACTCACACTGGAGAAAAGCCCTATAAGTGTAAGGAATGTGGAAAAGCCTTCAGCCAGAGTTCATCCCTTTCTCAACATCAGAAAACTCATGCTGGAGGGAAAACCAAAGAATACGGAAAAGCCTTTAGTGAGCATTCAGCCTTTGGCCAGCAAAAGAGAATTCATACTGGATAGAGACCATGTCGATGTGGTACCTTTAGAACATATTTAGCAGACAATTACTAAACGTCATGTGAGGGCTACAAATGAAGTTCAGAGTGTGTCACGCAAACAATATTGAGAAGTCATTGCTGATACATAGTGTACTTAGGATGTGAAGGAGGGGTTTGACATTTTTCCAGTGCAGCAGAGGACTTTAAATTTCCTCGGGGAAAGAGAATGATTATTTCCAACACCCTAAGGTGTATGTAAGCTTCCAAATCCTTGGGAGAGAAACAGGGTGTGTGGTGATGCAAAGAAGGCATCTTGTCTGGGCTGGATAGTCTCTTAATGCTAAGGAGACGAAGCTTTAAAGAGATGAGGGGTTCTTTAGGGAAATTGCAGAGGCAGAAATAAGAGATTAAGAATTCACAACAAGTTGGTCCAGGGTTGGGAGTGGCGGTGGAAGGGAAGTGGTCCTCAGGCTTAAGTACAGGGTCACTTAGGAGATAGATGAGAAGGATCGAGAAAAAGAACTGGGGGAATGAACTCAAGAAATGTTGATTGCGATAACTACCCAAATGAGTGCTCCCAACCAGGGAAAGTATTAGATGCGTTAGCTGGCCAGGTGCAGAGTTTCCACCCCGACACCAAGGAACGTCGGCGTGCCAGTCTGCTGCTGCACTCTTTGTCTCAGAGACCTTGCTTACTGATTCACAGCCTGCTAAGAATCGTACTAACTCCAGAGGTCAAGACTGACAGTCTAGAAAGAGAAGGTACAGAAGGGACCTTTGATGTTTTCAGTCTATTTTAAGCTACCTATTTTAAGCTAAGTTACCTGAGGATGTGCTTATTTATAAAGATTTTACCTCAATCGTATGTAGTTTGTACTTTAGACTCATTCATACCATAGTCACATTAAGTTGTAGACCTGAGCTGACACTGCGTATTGGATTGTGGAATTTGGTAAGACTTTGAAATACCTTTCACCATTTTATTCTCGGGTAGAGGCACAGGACAGCCATATATATATATATTTTTTTTTTTTTCATTGAAACTTTGAAGGTTATTGCACATATTTTGAGTATTGTGTTTTTAGTTTTCACAGGTTTGATGATGTGTCTTGATGTGGATTTCTTTGAGTTTATCCTGTTTTCTGAACTTCAGTCTGTAGGTGTATGTGTTTCACGACATTTGGGGCATTTTTACCCATCATTTCTTTGAACACATTTTCCAGCCCTCACTCCTCTCCTTCCAGGACCCTGATGACACACATGTTAGATCTTTGATTGTAGTCCCACAGGTTCCCAAGGCTCTATTCTTCTTCTGTTTTGTTCCCCCCCCACCAGAGTATATTTTTACCTCGATGTCCTCAGGCTACCATAACAAAATAATCTAGAATGGGGAGCTCAAACAACAGAAATGAATTTCTCACAGTTTTGGAGGCTGCGAAGTCCAAGATCAAGCTGTCAGCTTTGGCCCCTAGTGAGGGCTCTCTTCCTGGATTGCAAAAGGCCACCTTCTTGCTGTGCCCTCACGAGGCCTTTTTTTGGTGCTTTCATGGGAAAAGAGAGCTCTCTCTCTTCTATTTCCTATAAAGCTGCCAGTCCTATCTGGTTAGGACCCCAGCCTTATGACCTCATTTAACCTTAGTTACCTCTGAGAACCCCTGTGTCCAAATACAATTCACACTGAGAGTTAACACTTCAACATATGAATTTGGGGGCACACAATTCAGTCCATAGCATTCTGCCCCTGGCTCCCCCAAATTCATGTTCATGCAAAATACATTTGCTGCATCCCAACAACCCCTCAAATCTTAACTCATTCCAACATCAAGTCTGAAATCTTACCTAAATATCACATAAATCAGATATGGGTGAGGCTTAAGGTATAATTTATCCTGAGGCAAAATTCTTGTTCAGCTGCGAACCTGTGAAACCAGATAAGTTATATGCTTCCAAAATAGGATTGGGACAGGCATGTGATAGATATTCTCATTCCAAAAGGGAGAAATAGGAAAGAAGGAAGGAATGAGAGGTCCCCAGCAAGTCCAAAACCCAGCAAGACAAACTCCATAAAATCTTGGGTCTTGAGAACAATCCTTATTTGGCTTGATGCCCCACCTTCCAGAGCCACTGAGACAGTGATCCCACCTTCTGGACTCACTGGTCAGCAGCCTCAGCACCAAGTCTCTGCTTGGTAGCCCTGCCTCCAGAACTTTGTTGGCATCTGTGGCAGCTGGCCTGTTGAAACTAAGGTGACGTCCCCACCCTTTGACACAGGAGGCAGCGATGATCCTGAAATTGACTTGAGTCATTCTTTTTTTTTTTTTTTTTGAAACATAGAGCATGTTTGTGGCTGAGTAGCTTTATTGTCCAGTCCTGTAGGATCTGAGAGTCTTCCTCCATTTGTCTAGTTTTTCTGTCCCTTGAGTCCCAGCTGGCATGTTTCTGCTGGTACCATCCCGGCTTCTGTGGAGATGGCTGAACTTAATCACACCCATGAGTCACACCCCTGTTCTCTTTTTCAAATGGTTGTTCAGCCACACCCTTAGTGTTCTCTGTAGAACAGGCTTTCTCATATTTGGCAATATGGGCGGATAGAATTTTCCAAATCTCTTAAGTTCTAGGGTTTGGGGGTTTTGTTTTTGTTTTTGCTTAACAAGTCCTTGGATGTACCTCTCACCTCTTGCATTTTGTTATAAGCAGTAAGGAGGGCCCAAGCTACACCTCCAACACTTTGCTTGGAAATCTGTGTTGAATGTCTACAGTTTCTTTGCTCATAAGTTCTACCTTCCACAAAACACTGGATCTTTACAACAAGGATTGCCTTCCAGTTTCCGATAACGTGTTCCTCATTTCTGTCTGAGATTTCATCAGAACGGCCTTTAACATCCATATTTAGAGCGTGCACCTCAAAACTCTGCCAACCTCTACCCATTACCCAGTTCCAAAGGTGCTTCCACATCTTTAGGCATCTGTTAGAGCAGCACCCCTCTTGAAGGTGCCAAAATCTGTTAATCTGCTTGGGGGTGCCAAAACAAAATACCATAGACTGGGGGGCTCATATAACAGAAGTTCATTTCTCACCATTCTAGAGCTGGGAAGGCCAAGATCAAGGTATGCACTGATTGGGTTTCTGGTAAGAGGGTTCTCTTCCTAGCTTGTAGACGGCCACCTCCTTGCTGTGTCCTCACAGCTCTTCCTCCCTGCCTGCACATGCGGAGAGAATTCTATCTTCTTACAAGGCTACCAATCCTATCAGCTTAAGACCCCATACTTACGACCTCATTTAACCTTAATTACCTTCTGCAAACCCCCTCTCTAAGTACAGTCATATTGGTTAGGGCTTCAACATGAATTGGTGGTTGGGGGATGGTTGACGCACAATTCCATCCACAGTAATTTCTTTTCTGTTGTTCAGGTTGCATATTTTCTATTGTTCTATCTTCAACTTCACTAATTCTTTCCTCTGCCCCTTCCCTTCTGATGTTGACTCCATCATTGGGTTTTATTTCATTTCTATTTTTCAGTTCCATTTGATTGTATTCTACTTCTTTACTGAAACTCTTTTCTAAAATCGCGTCAAGCATGTTTGTCCTTGCTCATTGAGGCATTTTATGACGGCTATTTTAAAATCTTTTATCGGGTAATTCTAACATCTGTGTCATTTCAGTGTTGGCATCTGTGGGCTGTCTTATTTGCGTTGAGATTTTCCTTCTGTGTGTGCCGGCAATTTTTAGTTGAAATCTGGGCATTTTGAGTTTTATGTTATGAGACTCTGTTTCCTATTTAAAGCTTCTATTTGGGCAGGCCTCTTTGGAGAAAGGGTTGAGGGGTTACTGCTTATTACTGTTGTAAGTTGGTGTTGGAAGTGCAGGCTCATCATTGGCCTCTACTGACACCAGGATAGGCGTCCTCACTACTGCCAGGTAGGGGTGGGAGTTAAAACTCCCTACCAGGCCTCTACTGACCCCACACCAGCGAGGTAGGGGAGAGACGTCTTGTCTCTGGGTAGCATTGGAAGCCTTCTCCCCCATGGTCTCCATGGGCACTGCCAGGGTGGGATGGGGAAAGAGTTCGTTTGGAAAATTCTGTCCTTACTTGACCTTCTCTGATACCACTGTGATGCAGAGGTGGAGCATTGAGGAACCTTGTTACAGACTGGGGAGGTAGAAGTGTAGGCTCCCCATTTGGTCTCAGCTCTTTGGCTGGAGTAGGATGGGTATTGTCTACAAGTTTTCTGTCTTGCTAGTCCACTTCTTTCCTCATCCTTTATTAAGAAAGAACAGATTTTCTTGAGCCATTTTTGTTTGTTTTGGTTTGGTTTGGTTTTTGTCTGTGCCCCTTGGCATTTCTTGGTTACCAGCTTCTTCAGAGTCCAGTCTGGGGTAGATGAGGGCAAAGGAAAACCCAAGGGACTCAGTCTGTGTTGTTCTTCAGGTCCTGAGGTCCCCAGCCAGTTTGTAGTCTCCCCACCTTTCAGAATCTTAACGTCGTTTTATATAGAATGTCCATGGTTTTTAGCTATACTTTGAGAAATAGGGAAAAGCACTCCTACATATTTCCCACGACAGCCTTTCATTTGACACCAAAATAGCGGGTCAAGTTGTCAAAGGCTTGTGGCATACAGAGGTATATGCGACTAGGTAGGATTAAGTACCAAGAGGAGTGCTCACTTGTCCCTCCAATATAAGTGGCCAAGTTGGTAGGTAGAAACTACCAGGCTGCAAGCTTCATCTAGCTTTCAAGGAACTATAGTGTTTAAGTTGAGGAAACAACCAGTATTTAATTGTAGATTACAAATTTCAGAAGGAAAGGTAGGTTTGATTAAGTACATAAACATATGAACTATTGTGTTAGTTTTTTTTATTTATAGCTTTGTTCCAAGAGCATGTAAAAACCACTGGAGAATTGAATTCAGAATTTTGGGGGTTTTTTCCTATTATATATTACATGTATATAGATATCTGTTCATTTAAATTTGATATACAACACAGGATATCCTAGAGAACCAACTAATAAATGAAAATAACTGGGATTTGGGACAAATCACTTCATCCTTTTAGATCTGTTTCCTCATTTATATATTTTTTAAAAATGTAATACCTCCTTCAGAGTGGCTAGATTATGTAGATAATGGATGGAAAGTGATTTGCAAGCTATCAAGTGCTATGTGACTCTTAGGTATTGTTGCTATAGTCACTTATGACCTGTTCATCATGTATGTTTTATGATGGTGTAGTCCAATAAAAATGATGAGTATAATGGAATCCTTTTATGTTTTTTTAAAAATAAGTTTTCTTGGACAGAAGTAAAATTGCATCTTTTGAGATGATGGTAAATTATAATGAGAGTTGGTTTTTTTTTAATGATAGATTTTCTAATGTCAAAGAATACTTGCATTCTTGGGATTATCCAGCTTAATGATTTTTCCCACTTCTGGAAGAGTTTGTTAGGGTTTTCCAGAAACACACAACCAATAATATTTTATATATATTATATATATAATAATATTTTATATTTTTATATGCATATATATTTATATATATCACTACTTATCTCTACTTATTATATATACATATATATATTCTATTGGATAAGTAGTGATATATATTATAAGAAATTGACTCATGCACTTATGTGACCTGTTGTCTACAAGCTAGGGACCCAGGAAAGCTGGTAGTGTCATTCCAACCCAAGTCCAAAGCCAGAGAACCAAAAGCACTGAGGGCGGAAGACCCAACATCTCAGCTCAACAGTCAGGCAGGGAGAGCTAATTCAACCCTGGCCTTTTTGTTCTGTTTAGGCCCATAACATATTGGACATTGCCCACTCACACTGGGGAGGCACTCTGATTTTCTCAGCCCCCAATTCAAATGCTAATCTTTTCTGGGAACACCTT